GGTATTGCGTGTGCGCCAAAATAAGAATTGTTTGTGGGAAGTCTATACATACGCCGTTCAGACAGCGCCACCACCATAACCGTAGGGTGTCAGAGCCGTGCGTAGGTCTATAGTCTACGTTAGGGCGACGCGCGTACTGGATTGCGGATGAGCCTAGGGAGCAGAAGTCGTACTGTATCGCGCCGCACTGGTCAAGTTGCGACGCGCTTTCCCTAAAGCACTGGAGAGTTGCAGCGAAGCACCCTTCGACGAGCACCACGCACGTAGCTGTTACACGTAGTACAGGTTTGCGAGTACGTCCCATGGGCGCCGCCATCTTGCTACCGGTGTGCCAGGGTCGTCTGATAGTCAAGCCTCGCCAGGGCGGACCCAGGGTTGCGAGACAAATGTCCGAACAAAGCGCTGTCCACTCACTGTGGCAAGATTTCGTATTGAGGCGTAGCAGCTTGCGCAGCCCCGTACGCCTGCCTATTTATTTTTCGCGTGATTCCAGAACTACACAACAACGTATTAAAATAAAGCGTTTTCACTTTTAAAAAAAAAAATATATAAACACGTTTTGTGCCCAACGGATTTAAAGTGGCGGTAGGATACAACCGAGACGATTCTGGGCAGGCGAACTTGCAGATAATATTCTTCCTTATCAGCCTTTATGCATTTACTTGTTCATTTGCTCTCAACGCCGAAGTATCGCGTATATTAAGGGCTACTTCTAGACAATAATCATTTAATATGCTGGGGCCTACGTGATATACACGCCGTAGCAAATATTAAACCGAACGTATCTCCCCTTCCCACCGGTTCTGACACTCTAGCTGTTAAGAATCTGCGCTTAAACCTTTCTACATATATTTATATACGTTTCTCTTGTGTGTGGGTTTTTTCGGTATATTTTGTTTCGGCTTCAAGATGGCCGACATAAATCAATCAATGAGGTCGATTCTTCGGTCCAAGCGCATATCACCACTACTACGGAGACTCAGAACGCGTACCAAAACCCAGTAGACAAAGGTGGCAAGGCGCAGACGCCGATCTTGAGAGGGTATATTGAATGCGGGGCCTCTAGGGACATCTAAAGTGGCTGGATCCTGGGAAAGTAGCGTCATTGCCTTGCCTGCACGCTAGCCGGACAGAAACAGATACTAACGTTCAGACGACCAAACCTCGCGAGGTGATTGGCTGACTGGCCTCAGTCGCCATTTGCAATCGCCATTCCAGTCCATTCAAAGCTTCGAAAGGGTCCTTGTTGAACCGATCGCACCAAGATTGCTATGGAGCGTCGTCGTCCCAAAAGCGATCCTCGCCAATATAAGCGTCTTAGGCGCTGCGCGTGCAATCCACTCATCAATCATGCTTATCTTCAAGGATCTCTTACAAATGTATCGTTGTTCTCGTGTATTCGAAGACGGGAAAATTATTGCTGAATGCCTCCAAGCACCGGCGTCGCATGTGGTCATGGTGCGAAAAAGATGCGCGTTCTTTTTTCGCCGGTGTGTAAACAACTAAATATCCGTGTTCGAGAAACGGCTCTATAATGTGACCCGTCAAAAGGGAATTTAAATCGGCTCGCCAAGAATTTAGGGGTCAAGAAGAAACTGCCCAATCCGTGAACCCAAACGGCGGCATTACGGGGAGCTTGGTGCTACTTTCCCCAGGATCCAGTGACGTTAGTGAGATTTAGGCGGTTCTATACTTTGTTAAGTCATGTTTTATCATAAGTGGGAGGACCGCGGTCGAAGGCTTATGTATAGCAACTGCGAACGCACACACCAAAAGCGCTATGTCATGTTACGTCACCTGCGCTTAATTGTTCGTGCCGATTATAGTGCACGCATGAAAACACGACAAACGCCGTGACGCTGTTTTCTTCTTCTTTTTTTGTTGCTGTTTGGTTTGTTTTATAGACTTGTAGCTCTGCTTGCGCTCTGGATTAGAGTGAAACTAAGTGAAGCTCGCAGTCTGGAGATATTCGATGGAAAACCTCAAAGCAAGTCTAAAAAAAACTTTTTTTTCAAGTTTTTTTTTTTTTTTTTTTTTTTGCAGGAACACTGGAGGGTGGAAACAGTTTCACTGGGGCTGGGTTCTCCTTTACGCTGGCAGCAGCCTATGGCACACTGCAGCACTCACAGACTTCAAGCGAAGGTTCCGACTGGGGCGACCCGAAAACGTTAATTCAATCATTCATACATTCACTCACGAATTTGTTCCTTTTATAACATTTTATAACACTTCCTATAAATACAGAATTGGTGTTTGAACCAATAGCCATAACGGTTTGTCTAGGATCCAATAACAAAATAGGCTTACAATGCGACAGGCGATATAAGCACATAATTCAACAAATACATAACACAGTATAAAGATAACATAATAACGGATAAACCTATAAATCATTATCTTAAAAACGAGATATGGAAATAGCCACTGCCGACCTGTCCGTGTTTTCTTTGAATTATATCTGCAACGCGCCATCTTGAAGCGTGCCTGATTCTCCGGACATTACCTTGCTCATCTTGGTAACTGCATATATGTAAAAATAGGCAATAAAAACGGGTCGTTTAAGGATAATGTCACATTATTACGTGACCGTGTTTTAGTTGAAGTTTAGGTTAACTTATTTCTTCATTATAAGTTATCCTCGTTGGGCTACAACTCTTTTATTATAATGGGTGTAAACCTATACGCGAAACAAGATAGAGACACTGATCTTATCACGATTAGTATCTCTTTGTCGATATTTCAAATTTCAATAGGTCTCAACAAACCCACACACGTTTCTCATTGCTCGAAAGCGTCAAAGCTCGACCTTCTTTAGCTTTACATAGCTTTATTTTCATAGCTCAGCTTAACTAGCTATGTAGATATTGTACTTCAAATGATTTACGCTTTTATAGTTCTGTGTATGAATTATCATACATATATAACAAAATAGACATCAAATAATCTTTCACGGCTGTTAAACCACTGCCGACTCTAAAATACGTACCGTATTTTCCGGGCTATAGTCCCCACCCGGTGTATAGTCCGCAGAAGCAAATTAAGGCACAGAAAAAAGGTTTTTGCTTAGATAGTTTGCACCCGGTGCATAGTCCGCACCTGGTGCTTAGTCGACAGGAAAATCGTCGCATACATTGCACACCTTGACAGATGTCTGCTTTCTTAGCCCCCAAAGAAGCTTGTATTATACATAAATCATCATTAAGGTACTCTCTCATTCACGAAATCCGTCTCGTCTCGTCGCATTGAACGATCTTCAAAAACAAAAATTCTGTTTAGTCCACCCACGTAGATAGTCCGCACAGCCAAAAATTTCAACTTTTAAACATTTACAGTCCACGGACTATATAACCCGGAAAACACGGTAGTTTCCGAGCAGGCATGTGTTTCCTGGAAAGGGAAGAATAAAAACTTTAAGGGGGGTAACAACAAAAGCACCCCTAATTTTAGGGCACATAAAGAATAAAAATAAAGATTGACTTTTATTTCTCGAATTACATTTGTATGCAAATACAGAGATCTTCTTGAAATAAAAGGAGAGCAAAACCATAAATTGAATTGAAAGACTTTCGACCATAAATTGTTGGAATGCTGGAATTGTCACTAAACTGACGATGCTCCTTTTTTTTTTTTTTATGGATTCTGAGTTTAAAAGGTTGTTATATATATATATATATATATATATATATATATATATATATATATATATATATATATATATATATATATATGTATATATAGTTTTTAGCACGGCTAGTAGCCTGAATGACGCTACTTGAATATCGAAACTTTTTAATGAATCGAAATCACGCAGGCACGTAGCCAGGATTTTGGTTCAGGGTGCAGCGAAATAGAAGATTTCGAAAGGGGGGGGGGGGGGGGGGGGGGGGGCCATGCCCCCCCCCTCCCCCCCCCTCCCCCTGGCTACGTGCCTGGCCCTAAGGTCACTTGTAGCTCCGTAATATATTTTAGGATGCTGTTATACACAAATAATATTCCGTTTTTATTATTATTATTACTATATTGGCTACATTCTTTATTCGCACCTTTTTTTCCTCTCTTGGTTCTCAACTTTACAACCTTTATGAGATGAAAAAAAAACTGTTTGTGGTTTTAGAAACAGATTAGCATGTGTAGAATTGAAATCACGCACAACCTTATCATACTCTAATTCAATCCACACTAAGATTTTGAAATCACGTCACCGCAATATTGAACAGGAATGACGGACTTACCATCCCTCTTCCATGCCAAAATTAATCCGTATTTAACATATGTTCTCTGTGGTTATTACCATTACGATTTGCTTATTGGTGCGTCGCATCACTGTGCTGGCCTCTAACGTGTAATTTTAAAGATTACGTATTGCCGCGCTGATCTTTACCGACACGTGCTTCTATAAAAACGAGTTCGCTAAAAGGAGACTGGTCGCCCTTTTCTCTAAACTCGATTTCTCTTCTAAATGAATTCTATAAAGCGGGGGACTCTAAACCGGCGTTCACTAAAATGAGCTCCGGTAAAAACGGATGCCTCCGCGAGAAAAGAACGAAAGAAAAAAGAACCGCTATAGCTCCGAGCTATCTACGTCGAAAGCCGAGAGGCTGTGTTCGAGTGTGTATTGTGCGCGTGCGTGTTTCTTAACGCGTTCGCCGGTACACAGTCCACGGGCAGTGCTCGAGGCCGCGGTGTCGTCGAACGTGAAAGGGGATGATGATCCGACAGCGGCTCAACGCCGTCACTGCCGCCGCCAGGGCAACCCAAGCAAGAGCAGCGGCACACGCGCAAAGACCCCGCGGCCGCGCTCCGAGCTCGCCAGGGGGAGCCAAGTCCGCGCTCAATGACCGCTGTCCGTCCCTTCTCCCCCTCCTCCCCGCTCCTCCTCTCCCGCGGGCGGCGGAAAAGAGGGCAAGGAGGCCGAACCCGAGAGAGGGAGAGAGAAATCGCCCAGAGCGCCGGAGGGCGAGAGGCAGGGGCGAAACCTCTCGCCGCGGCGAGTCACCGTGCAGACCGCGCTCCGCAAGCAAGCCGCTTGCGGACATTGGAGCCCACCCGACGGACACACATCAGAGGCGGGCGGACCCCTGTGCAAGCGTGTGTCTGTGAATGTGTGTGTGTGTGTGTGCCACGGATTAAAAAGAAACAAAAGAAAAAAAAAAACGCAACCGCCCGACGTCTCCCCCCCCCAGGAAGTCGCCGGAACGACCGACAAGCGAACGCCGGACGTTCCTTATGCATCGGACGTCGTCAGCGTCGGCCCGGACCGCAGGCCGTTGCATCGGGAGCAGAAACGTGGGGCTCACGTCGTCTGCTAGTGGAACGTCGCCTGCTTCGGAACCGTCGTCTGCTCGCGAAACGCCGTCTGCCCGTGGAACGTCGTCTGCTTCGAGATCGTCGTCTGCTACGGACCGCGGCTTGGGGTTCTGACCGTCCGAGCCCACGGTTACCGCAACCTGACAACCGACGAAAGTTGGTGACCACTCTGTCAAGATTGGTGTTCGTTTGTCCGTTGTCTCGTGGATGGTGCGGTGTCGCTGTTGTGGTGGTCAGCTGTGCAGTGCGCTGGCGAAACTCCGGTTCGACGACGGCGACTGTGGATGCTGCGCGGGTGTGGAGTTCGTGACCGACTTTTTTGCTTCGTTTCTTTGACGGCAGACGACGAAATCCCCCCCTCTCGGTGGAAGACGCGCGAGACGCCAGAGAGAGGAAAGGGTGAAAACGAAAACAGAACGTAGCAAGACGACAACAAAACAGAAAGGGTGAGGTGCATAAGCGAACGAGAAGGAGGAGGAGGGTTCAGCCACGTGACACAGCGCTAAGACGCGACAACATTGGTGGCAAACGTCAAAAACGCGGGGAAGAAAAAAAAAAAAAGGAACTCGTGCTTCATTACCATTCATTAAAATCATCCGCCATTCATTAATTATCAAAATACCCCCTCACTTAAACCCCTCAATTATCAACCGGTAAATGAAAGCGATATCATCGTGATCTAAGAAAAAAAAAAAAGTTAGTGCCTACCTTTTCTAAAATTTCGAATCACGTGATCTCCATTCATCGGATTATCGAGTAGTATCGATGACGATCCCCCACATTCAGACGCGGCGAATATGAAACGTCAACCTACCTGCTCCTGACGAATCCGACAGAAACAGCAACAAAAAAAAAGTGTATCTCGTCCTGAATGTGTACGACTTCACGCCGACCAGTCGCCGCGCCGCGAAACCTCGGAGGAAACCCACCAGTGGATGTTTCGAGCTGAATCTCCTCCGCTCGCCGGAACCGTGTGCGGTGTGTGTGTAGTACATGAGCATCACGGAGAGTCTTCCCCCGTGCGTGCGGTGACGTTCTCTGAGGTCCGCGAGGGGACCGTGACGGACGCGCGGAGCGGGCGGACCAGGGACCCGGGTTCCGTGGTCCCTCGTCTTCGAAGCTGGAGGTCCATGCCATGTCACGGCGCAAACAGGAGAAGCCACAGCCGCGCAAGCGATCTCTGACAGGTGAGTCGGTCAATCGTGTCCTACTATACCTGCTTGTTTCACTGTAACGAGAGAAAGCCTACACGTTGGGGGCTAGTTTGGGAAAGTCGTAATCTAATATTTCATTTACACCGCCAACCGCTTTACACTGCAAGTACTACGTCATACAGAAGACAGTTGGGCAGACGCTATCTCAGCCATATCTCTTCCTTGTATAGACCTTTGCCTAAACCTTGCATCGTGTTCGTTGTCTCGTGTTTGCTTATCGCGTGGTTTGGGTTGCGGTGTCACTCTGGCTGGTTTCCCTGTCAAAAGAAGGGAGGGGTCAGTCGAAGTATAAGACTCCGACTGGCCACTCTTTTTTTTTTTTTTTTGCGAAATAGATTGGGAAAGTTGGAGCTTTTGGGGGAAGTGTGAAGCAATAAGCAAAGAAAACACTGCATGTACCCATTCAAGACAATAACACACAACAAGAATCGTGGATCACAGAAGCTGCGTATAGCTTCATAACACATTCAGTGTGTTTTCTTAAGGCGAAACGTTATGCTCTTCTCGGGCGAAGGAGCTACGTATCAAGGGAAAGAGGTTTGACGAATGACGCAGCGGGAAAAATTAATGAATAAACTTTCGCCGATAAACGAAATCTGCTCAAGTGAATCTGCTCTCTGACGTAAGCAACTGCGAGCGAAGCATAATGCTCGATGTCGCAGCTTTAGCTGCACTTCCAGGTATTGGAGTATACGAACAGCGGTTCGGGAAGGGGGGGGGGGGGGGGGGGGGGGACGGACATGATAGCACTGCCTCATTCATAGCCATCGCTTTGCAACGCAAAGCCACGACAACCGGTTTTCCTATCAGTTCGAAACTGAGGGATGGATGTCACCGCACTATTCGATTCAGACCACGGTTCGCACACCTTTGTACTTCTATGCTTCGTTTCACTTTAAAAACTGGTTCATATACAGCCCATTTTCTTGCGTTACGTTAGAAAAGCTTGCGTACAAGTCACCGGCACATTTGTGCTTCGTATGAAGCACGGTTACCAGTTCAAGGGGATAGCCTGTGGCACGCGACATTCGAGACACTAATGTTTCTGTGACTTGTACGTAGCGTAAGAAAACAATGGTGTTAAGTCGGGACGCAGCCGACGTATACGAGCGGAGTGTACCAATCAAACAGTGATAAAAGCGCGCCGACATGTTGTTTGTCATGTTCTTTTTTGTGTGCTTTATCATCGCTAAACCATTCATGTATAAGGAAGGCCCACTGACTGGCAAATTGTGTGACGCCGTTTGGTTGCTCCCATCAGCTCGTAGCGTCAACTACGTCTGGATTTGAGGTGAAACGAAATGTAAATCGAAACTGTCTTTTTGGCATCGTCATTTGACCCTGCTGCCCTCGTTGATAACAGCGTTCGACAGTGGGAATTTTCTGCTGGAGAGATGCAGAAGAGCTCGCGGTCTCTATTCTTGTCTGCCACAGTCGCCCGCACTATGACAGGGAGCAAAAATAACATTGGCAATCACTTCAGTTATGGAATCGGATTCAGTGTCACGAGTTGTTTGTTTTGCGAAGTGTTGCGTTGCATGGTTCACGAGCAACTTGCTCAGGTAATGGCCACTCGCGGACATATCTGGGGCCAGTGGAGCTATTTCGAGCCGCGTGGTTACGTACGCTTCCATCGGAGCGTCTGCTCGCGATCGTAAAACTGGAGTGTTCGCATTCATCTATTGCACTATACTCTGAAGCATCGTGTCCTGTCATCTGCGCTCTTTTATTTCCGCTGTCAGTTACGTTTACTCGGATGACACCTTGTAGAATTTTCATACGTATGACGAGACGCGCGGAGCTGCGTCTGCTATAAAGACGCATAGAGTGGAACGCGTCTTCTTGAAGCCATTTCCCCGCTGGCGCCGCCGTGCGGGCAGGATTGGAAGCTAAGGGGCTTCCTTCCGGAAACACATGAATACCACGCAACTCCTTGGCTAATGTCACAGGAGCTAACAGTCAGCTCCAGTCATTGAAAAAGCTGCACAGTATCGATGTATCTACCTGCTTTGATAGTTTTGTTCGAAAATGCGTAAAAGACATTTTGTCTTATACTTGGCACAAAGGCTTGCACAACAATAACGTCGTCGACTTTGGGTGTGTTTTTCACCCGTTTACGATGTTAGACTTTCAGAAAACGAAATGCGGTATGGTCTATATGATTTCATTTGGCCGTAAAGTTGGTTCTCCCAAAACACGCAGTCCGCTACTTTGATTGGCCACCTTATATGAATAAACATATATCGCTCAGAAATGTCACTCTCTCACAAGCTTCTCTCGAGTCGGCATCAACGTTTACGCAGCCACAAGATACTAAAGCAAATCCCGTAATACTTCGGGTACACGTCCACTAATTTTGTAAGAACCCGCTCCCTTACCGTGGTTACTAAACGACGTGTATCAAAAAACGTTTTTGTGATGCAACATAAACTTTGGGCTGTAACAGAACGCCCTCCCACCATCAAGCGATCCAACGCCTGCCCGATTCCCACGACACATGCGACGCTGTGCCCCACAACTTTCGTCCACTCATCTTTTGTTACGCGAGCGGCGTCGCTACTAGAAATCTCTGGAAAAATCAAAACACGTAAATCAGGCCTTCAAATTAATGGTACTAGATATCTACATCGATCTATAGAAACCAGAAGTAATCGAAAAACCATCCCTGCAGCATGGATATCTCTATAGTCTGCTGCTCATCAACTCACGCACACACTCTTAATGTGCTACACACACTTCTTTCACGAAAAAAAAGAAGAAAAGTAAACACCTAATCAATACGGAAAGTCACCTGATGTATGTGCTACGAAGAGAATCGTGACGTCACTGGCAGAATGAGAACGGCAGGCACCTATTTCAGATGATTTGTCCCCAGCACGCATTCCTTGGCTTTTACCTTGCTTTGGATGCGCGTGCACACTCGTAGAAAACTAGGCGCCCACGCATTATCTAGGGTACACGCAGCTCACGCTGATGGCAGGACAACTGGAAGGGTGAGAACGGCAGGGATGCCGTTCTAGTCCTGCCAGTGACCCGAGTAGGTACACGGCGCGACAGAGCGCGAACTGAAACGTCGCCGCTATTTCGCGTACACGCCCACGCCGTTTAGATTCGAAAAAAAATTATTACCCTGAAGTCGGTAGTTGATGTGTCTACACCTCCACCATGCTATTCATTTTGATGACGACCGTTTAGCGCAGGGAACGAGAAACAAGGAAAATCGAACGATCGCGTATTCGTGCAAACTGAGTCGCGCTCGTTATGAGAGAGTTTGTCGAATCGCATCGTACTGGGACGACTGTATGGCGTAATTTATTCAGACGAAGACTGCCGTGATATATACGGAGAACTACGCATACATTTCCGCGTTTATGATTTATCAATTACCCGAGCACCCAACCGTCGTCGCATAAAGGCGAGAAAACGAGCACAAGTCAAACGACACCCTCTTTAACTTGGAAATTGAAGTTCGCTTTTTTTGAGGGTCATTATCGACACCTTAGTTGTGCGTATAGCTTTTTAAAAGTCTCGGCAATGCAGACCAAGGTTACCTGTGAGGTGGTTAGAAAGCCCTTCAATACCTACGCCCTTTTACAATTCGTCTAAAAGCACTGCAAAATAGCGTGCTGAAAATAAACAAAAATAAAAAATATCAACGAGCTGAAGGATAGTGGGTAGACCTCAAAGCAAGCTGCCTTGAGGTCTACCGACTATCCTTACGATCAGATCTCAGAGTTCTGACGTCACCAGAACACCAGCAAAAGAAGCAGACGAACTTGCGCCCAGTATCGACTAAAAGTTACGGGTGTTGTAATAGGGGTTCGAATGGAATGGCTCGGTGCCGCCTCTATTTAACCTGCGCAGTGCTAAAAAGAAAAGTTTCCACGTGGTGGCGCCGGCGTGGAAATGGCTTGGAGAAGATGGCTTCCATTTAGTTGCTTTAAATCATTGTAGCGGGAAAATCGCTGCTCTTTATCATTACGGGTATGTCTTAAATATAGCGGATTGATCGATACTTTCGATGAATGAATAACCATTCGGAAGAAAGAGCTTATTGTCAAATTTTATGTACAGTTTAACGAAGTGTGATTGATGTAATGATAGATGCTACACTAGAGCAGAAACGTTGATATGATTGCTTATCTAAAAATCTTTATTTGACTTATCTTTCGCGTTCTAATTTGCTTGCCCGACGAAACTATAACCGGCGAAAGGAAATGGAAGGTGCAAAGGAAGTTTAATGCTCGGATTCGCTCGGAAGAGAACCGCTTTCTTCTCGTGTTCAGTCTGATATCAACCTTTCTTGCTCGATGATGACACAAATGCGCATAGAAAGCATACA